CTGATATAATGCATTTCTTCAAGGTTTTCTTATGTTTCCGGTCTGATATAATGCATTTCATCTAGGTTTTCAGGTAATATATATATTTGTTTTCTATTAATTAATAGCGCAGATAGTCCACGTGTAGCTTTGCGCGAAATTCCAAACAAACTAAAATCAAATTAATTATTAAAAACGAGAATGTGATGCACGAACAACTGAATAAATTGAGTTTTATTAAAACAAAAGAAAATGCTCGAATTCTAAAATTAGATGCCATAAAGCGGCTGAAACTTCAAATTATATGAACCACATACATATTTAATTGTGTGGATCCCAATTATAATTTTTACTTAAAACTATATTTAATGTAACGACATTAAGCTCTAAGATCATCGTAACTGTGAATGTGAAAGACAGAGGAAACTCTAAGTTCATACTTATAAGTTATATAGTATTAGATGGATTTTACTAAAATAAACACAGTCGACGTATAATTCTAAGGACAAATGTTTTTAAACGTTTTATGTTTTGGTTCACGGAGATTAGTGCCCCGAGGAGCTTACTCTAACTCTCGTTGAGATGATTGTATAAAGGATACGTCAATTTTTACTAGGCTTAGAATATGGTAATAGTAACAAAGATATGTACGTTATGATTTGATCAGCGTAACTGTGAATGTGAAAGACAGAGAAAGCTCTAAGATCATCGTAACTTGAAAGACAGAGAAGCTCTAACATTCACAGTTACGACTTTGAATCGCGATGCGTTACGATTACTGTCATTGAACAAGTTGGTCCGTCAGATGCTAGCTGGCTGGATATGATATATATAAACTGTCTTTCAGACTCGAATTCGTATTGTACATTGTATGATTGCTTCTATGAAGACAGTATTTATTGGTATAAAGCTATCTAATAGGACTGTTGTACTTAGAAGTTTGAATATTATCAATTACGTTAATTCTGGTGAAAACTACTGCGTTTTTTTGTTGTTGTTGTTTGATTTTGTTGGTTGAAAACACAGATAGAATTTGGGTGATTTTTATGAATTTATCAAAGTATTTGTTGTGTCTTCTCTTTAATACAGAGGGTTGAGTACGTTATAAAACCGATATAAAAGCCCAATGTAACATAATGTATCAGAAATACATGTTGACGTTATTTGTCGTTACGTTCATGCTCTCAGATCATAAAGATGTGGTTAAATCGGGGATTGGAATTTCACTTGTATTTAATGGCACTGAAAACAAAAGAATATATATCAACTTGGGGCACCAGGACCATCCAGAAAGAAACCTGCAATGAGTCGTACCCCAGTCGTGGTAAGAAAAAGGTCTTTTAACAGGTGAGAATCCACGAACACAAATATCAGATATAAAAGCCGTTCACGTGCCCCAGGCAACAGTAAACAACATCTCCAAGAAGGATCTCCACCTGGAAAAACAACATAAGTCACATGCACATCTGTTGCATCCACGACATACCTTAATCAGCTGGAGAATAGAACGGGTATTCGTGCTATTCAATATGAAGTCATACTGGTCTATCAATTAGACACAGCACCAGTGGATTTCTTTGCGATCAGCCTGTTGATATGTATACTAGATGGGCTATAGAAAACATGCTAGGAAGAGTGTGATGCTTTGGACATGACAGCCTTACGATGGAGTTTTTTGTAATGGGAACTACGCTGCAGATGTCCCCAGTGGCTTAGCGGTAACTCTGAAGGCTTTTAACGTTAAAAACTAGGTTTCAGTAGCAGTGGTGGCAGATCACAGATAGCCCATTGTGTAGTTTTGCACATAACAACAAACAAATCAAATCAACCAAACTATAAGTCTACTCTTGTAATACATTTTCAAGTTACAGCTTTGGTGCCTCTGTTTTTTGTTTTTTTTTATTGTTGTAGTTCTTTCAGTTTTAGAAACGATTTTTTTTTTTGCATTGGAAATAAAATAAGTATTTGTTCAAGAATTAAGGTGCGTTTTAATTAAACTTTCAAAGATGAATACGTATGCATATTGTACAAATATTTCTAAAATAAAGACAATTAACCAGTTATGGCAAGGACAAAACGAACCGAAAATTTCTATTAACTCTTCAGTATTTGCAAGATTGTTAAGTAAACATTGATGGTCTACTCCTAGTCATCCAGCCCCCCAAGTGGCACAGCGGTCTGTCTCTGGACTTACAACACTAGAAATCGGTTTTCGATACCCGTGGTGGGCGGAGCACAGATAGCCTATTGTGTAGCTTTGTGCTTAATTCCAAACAAACAAACCTAATCATTCAAAATTTTAGCAGCACAAATAAATAATTCATAATTTGCTTATAAGATCTCTCAGATTAGCTAAAGAAACAAAATGACCTAAACGTGACAGGAATATTTTGTTTCCCGCCAAAAAAAAAAAGGGGGTGGGGGAGAATTTAAAAATACTTCTCATGATAAATCCGGGTTTGTAAAACATGAAAATTGACATTCCTGGGCACAAATCTTTAAATCTATCATGTATATAAACTACTTTCATACGTCCGTGCTAGCAGCCGTTTTGGAAGACTTCTGTAATGCCGAACTTACAAAAAACAAAACATTTATTTGATAGGATAAAACATGAAACAAACAAACACGCGAAATTCTAATTCAACTACAAACAAAATCATCATCAAAGTTAGGATTTATTTTCTACGTGAGGATTTTAGCCATTACTAATCCATAAGGAAATTTAAATCAAAAAATAATATATTACATCAAATTCATTGTGCAAGAGTGGTATTCAAGGGTAATTTGTACATTAACGGTTCATACTGGTAAGGTTAGGTTTGTTTCTTTGTTTGTATACAAGCACAAAGCTACACAATGGGCA